GTTGGTAGTTACCCTCGTTGGGGTAAGAAGCGGAATACTGTTACCCTTGTCGGAGCTGATAAGGCTTTTATTGAGTCTTTGGTTGCCGAGGTTGAGGAGGGTGTTCAGGGTAAGCTTGTATCTAAGGAGGATGAGCTTGATCCTCCTTCCGACTCGGAGCATGTCTACAGTCAATAGGGACATTGTCTGTGTACCTTGTTAGCTGTTTAGCTCCGGGTGGATTACATATGTTCCCTGTACATAGAGGGCAACGGTTATACTAGAACGCAGGAATGTTATATTAAAACATTGCCGGCAGATACAGATCGAATAGATTGCAGTATGATAGATGGTATATGTCTCTCCAGATCAAGAGCTACACCATCCATAGATACTCAAACAGGACACGCGCCATAGTAATGAGGAGCAAGGAATCCCCCTTGCCGTGAAATAACATATATTGACAGCCGTGTCGTCTCGTATCCCGGGACCGACAAAGATAATAAGAGATAGATAAGAAACACCAAGGATCTTTCGCAAGACTTGAAAAACAATAAAATATAGAGATAAGGACGCAATTCGGACAACAAAAGGGGAATCAAAATGTTTCGTGAGACGAGGTTGGCGTCAAGGTCGTCAAAGCGAATGCGAGCCTCGTCCGAAAGAGCCACACAAAACACCGACACAATTCGACAGGACATTTTTATTCTCGTTTTCGCTTTTTTTTTCGGTGTTTGAGTTTTTCTTTCTGTCGGATGTGTAGTTTTGCTGAGCATGTTTTCCTCCATCGCGTATGTTTTCCGAATGGCATGGGGGGTGTAAGGGGTTTGCAAATGCAGTTGCAGATGCGAATTAAGCGCCATTCAAGAAGTGTAACCAGTTTCCAGCTTTCCAAGGGAAGAAGAAGTAAAAGAGCCTCTTCCCTTATATATAATCAATCCGTTCTCAGTGTAATAACTCTCCAACAATCGTGTGCGCTGCGTGGTCGGATGATTCGGGGTTCTTTCTCAAGGCTCAAGGACATTCACGGATTCGACGTTTTCGAGTTGTTCTTTTTTTTCACATGACCACGCACTTGGAGCAGCAGCCGGCGCTCTCGCCGGGCTCGCTGACATCCATCTTGCCCTCTGGTGCGCGGGCGCCAAACGCGCCGGAGCCCGAGGGGTACGAGGACATCTCCTTGTTGTAGCGGCGGATCTCGCGGACGAGGTCGTAGAAGGCGTTCTCGACGTTGATGCGGGACTTGGCGGAGGTTTCAATAAACTTGCAGCCGAACTGGCGGGCGAGCGCTTCACCCTCTGTTGGACGCGTTGCGTGGTTAGCTATGGGGGTTCCAGGGGAGAGGATAATAGGGGGGGGTGGGGTGAGAGCATGTTGGGACGGAACCTACCCTGCTCGGAGACCACGCGCTCCTTTTCCAAATCGCACTTGTTGGCAACGACGATGATGGGGAAGTAGTCCTTGTCCTTGACGCGCAGGATCTGCTGTTGGAAGGTCATGATTTCTTCGAAGGATTGGCGCGATGTAATCGAGTAAATCAGCAGGAATCCCTCGCCGGTTCGCATATACTGTTCCCGCATTGCCGAGTATTCCTCCTGGCCTGCTGTATCCAGGACGTCCAACAAAGCGACCTCATCGTCGATAACACACTGCTTGCGGTAGGAATCTGTGGACGGTATTCGAATCAGTGCCGTTCATTGCGGGTTCCCCTGGATTCGAAAGGGACGCGATCTGCGCGGGTTGTCAGATTGAGCTCACCTTCGATTGTTGGGTCGTACTCGTCCACAAAGTGGCTCTGGATGAGTTGGATGGTCAAGCAGGACTTTCCGACGCCACCGCCGCCGACAACCACCAGCTTGTATTCTCGTAGGAACTGTAGAGCTCAATCAATGGGGTGCTTCAAACGAATAGAGCTTGGAGGGTAGGGGACTCACCTTTGAGGCCATTATGGGATGAGTGTAGGAGGAAAAAGGGATGAGGATCCAAGTTCCGGGATCCACAAAATGGTAGGAAGAAAACAGTCGGTGGAGAAAAAAGAAGTTCTGGGGAAAAGGAAGAAGAAGAGGAAGGGGGTGAAAGGGAATTCAGGAGATGGTGGGGAGAGTTGATTGGGTAAGGTATTATCTCTTCAATTTACGCAGATTGCATTATATTGCTGCCCCTATTCTATGTTCTATGTTCTCTGTGTTCTCTATGTTCCTGCGATAACTTCTCCTTTCGATATCTGTTCCTGTTGGGCTCCCAGCTTTGCCTTGCAGCTCATTGCATCATCTGAAATCTGTCAATTTTGGTGATTGGACACGTCCACAGACAATTCACTCCTACATGTTAGGTGCCCACTTTGGCTTGTCTCCATCACACTAAGGACTAGCATCTAAACCAGGCCCGCCGATCTTCTGAATTTTCACTCATGCTACCCTATCGCTACAGTATGTAATTGCTGCATGTCGGAGGGAAAATGCGATGCATCTATTTTCCTCTACAAGTCCAGGTTCTTAGATCCTGACGGAAACGCATGGATCTGAGGTTCGTCTGCAAACCCCACCAAGCCATGTGCAGGGTCACATTTGAAGGGCTTAGCGATCGCCTAGAATTCACCCCTCCTTGAAATATAGTTATACTTCAGTCTGTTAGGGTCTTAAAACGTCATTGTGATGGTCCATATCTGTCTTAGTTTAGTCTCAACTTAGGGCTTTGTCCATCTTATGGAACTCAATTCCCGCACAACCTAATTAATTATAGGCTGTCTTCTCGAAGCCCAATCGTTCAGTTCACAACGTCTTCTGGTTGACATGCTAATTTCCACCCGGAGATAAGCTAGACACCTGATCAGCAAGGCTGTAGGGCCCTCGGTATATCCCGTTTGGTTTATAAATTTGCGTGGGAAGATGATTGGTCGGACATATGCCAACAGTGTGGGATTGATGGCTTTGGCTGTCATGCATGTGTCGGCTTCCGGTAGGTGCCACGACGAACTGTGTTTCGGTGGCTGTGGTAGGATGGTAGCGAGCCGCACAGCAAAGTTTACTATAGTCCGGGCAGATGAGGTCGTGCTCAGGCATTCGGTTAGAGATTCTAGACTCAATGCAATGCGATCTGTAATTTCATTTCCTGTGCTAGATTGGATTAAGCTCATAGTAATAGCTGTGTGTTAAGTGGGGAAATATACCCAACTGCAGAGAGCATGTCTCGTCAATGCGTATCAATGATTGACATTTAGGCACTGACAACTAGCTGTTTTATATAAAAACCATCTTGAATGGCACTGTGGGCTTAGCTATGTAGCCTGAAATCAAGAAAGTGGTAACACTTGGACTGGCACCTCGCTAGATTAGCGCCCAGACTCGGAGTGACCAGTAATATCGTATGTGATAGTGCAAGGTACACTGTAAGAGTACCCAGAAGCCCAATTACTGCAAGGATAAAACATGGTAGGACATGTTCAATGCCAATTGGTTTGACGGAGATTTTCTTAATTGGTAGCTGGAAAGATACTGAGTCTACTTCGCCTTCGTAGTCAATACCTTTCACCGGGCCCAAGCCACGCTAGCAAAAAGTGATTGTATAGCTAGAAGTTGTTTCTATGTTTCAGTCACTGTTCTGAGGTTCATATTCCCATATACATTCAGGTGTCTCGACCATGTCGCAAGGTATATTTTCCATCACACGGGGCTAGACACGCATTATATTAGATCTGCGTTCACACAAACTCATAGAATACAACCCAGAAGACCATGCTATAGAAATTAACAAATATATACATGACTAACACAAGAAACCCAGACAGGCATCTCAAAGCATTCTGACTTTAGCTTTGGCAACCCTTTCTTGATCCAAAGCCAAAGCAGCCTTCATAATAATATTCTTTGAAGCTTCTAGCCCAGTCCACAACAAGAATCGATCAGAAGCCTGAGCAAGCAACACCTCAACACCTGAAACAGTCTGCCACTCGGAATGTCTTGAGCCAGAATCAAAAGCGGCTTCTGTCTCAGCTTATACGACATGTCAATACAAAGACCTGCGTGACGCATTCCACCCCCTACAGCATGCACAGTTATATCGCGAAATCACTCGGTCTTTGAAGCGAATGTCCAACAATGGAGAATCTCCTCAAGCTCGCAAAAGTGCCAAGCACAGCCGGTCTGGTAATGAGTTTGCCATACTCAATCATGAAGCACCTTGACGAGCTAGATGAACCGGCTATCATCATTGGTGCATGCAACAATATCTACTACAAGCAGGATGACTGTGAGCTGGAGGTGCAAGCCGGGCGGCGATATATGCTCTTTCGGAGCATTTGCATTGTCTTGATATCTACGTCTTGAATCGCGATGACCACGAGGTGGTGAATTTCATATAAGACTCGACAAAGCTACCAAGTCCCCCCGAGCTCATCCATGTCGAGACACAGAAGCAAGCTGAGGGGCTGGTCAGTCCACACTATATTGTTGGGACAGTACCTAACTTTGAGCCTAAGACGGAGACTGAAGTCGAGGTTGCGACGATGCTTGAGTCTTTCCTATCATGACCGGACGAGGGGGTGTTGTTGGATATGTGTTCTAAGCCTAGAAGAACGAGAATGACCAAGCTGGGTGAGAGGCTAGGATAGTCTTGTGTGGAGGGAACTCATGTCATTGGGTACCAGATTCATGAACAATGAATGGCGTATGTGGGTTGGGAGAGGAGTGTGCGCAGATGTTGGATCGGAAAGGGGCTTGGGATGTTTTGCTAAAGGCGGCTGAGGAAAGCAAGATGATTGATTTTTTAATGTGTCTCTTGATAAAAAAATCGAATGCTATAATCATGCATGCTCTAAAGTAGTTTGTGTTCTATGCGTTTAAAGGGCCTCGGAAGTATACGAACGCTTCCCCCACTTCTCCGCAGTTGATTCCATCGGCAATGAACTGAGCCGAAGGGCGTATACCCGAGACGGATATAAGTGCCTACTTATAGCAAGGTGCGACTTTGGAATTTGACAAACTATATTGCATCCTCAGATATACTGCATTCTGATTACCGTAATGCCCAACTTGCATTCATTGCCCGAAGGCACTTGGCCCAAAAACGCCATCCGGAATAATGGACCAGACAACCTCGTCTTAGAGCGCGTGAAACTTCGCGAGTTAGCCGAAGGCTGGCCGTGCTACCGGTAAATAAAACAAACGACAAACTAGTTGAGAAACCGAAGACTGATAGAATCTCTAGCGATGCATGCGAATGGGAAAACTTCGAATCCATTTTCCATCCAGGAGCCTATGTGTACACCACATGGTCTGGCAGAGTGACATACAAAGAATTCATGGAAGCGTCAAAAGGCGGCATGGATAAAGGTGCCTTCATCATGCACCGATGCCACGGCGCAACGACAGATATCACTGCAGACGCAAGTCGCGCCATTACAAAGATGAAAGCAACCATCACGCAGAGATTCATGATCGATGGTGTCGAAGTCGATGCGGAGGCTGACTGTCGTTTTTGTTTCTTTTTTGAGAAGATTGATGGTCGCTGGGGTGCGCGATTCGTTCGGCATTGGTATGAGAAGGATAAGCTGTTGCCTGTTATTCCAAATCATTTCCCCGAGATCGATCTAGAGAAACTCAATTCTTATCCTGCTGGATATAAGTGTTTGGCGTATTGCCAGGAGCTTACTATGGGGGTTCCTGTGTTGAGGGACATGCCGGGACATAGGAGGCATGTTGGTACTGTTTGTGGGGAGAAGCATGATTTGTTGTATCGGTTTGCTAAAGACTGGTTGGATGGTAAGGAAATTGAGGTTTAGAGTGACAGCTTATCATTTGAAATATATTCAATATGTTTGTTTTAGTTCCAGATGGACGCATCACCTGTGGTGCTGAAGCGTTCAAATTAACCTGAGAGCATCAATTTCGTTGATTGAGCTGAATTCTTTCCTCTAACTTTTTTCAAAGCCGCGATGCCCTTATTTTCATGATCATGAGGGATAACTTTGCCCTCGTATGCCATGGTCCTAGAGAACAACTCCATGCAAATGCATCCCTTGGATCAAAGTCCCGACACAAGCGTCTTGGCAATCTCCTCGACTGGGAGATACCAATTCGTCCTTGTAGGCTGACCCTCCACATGATCAGGATGACCTGCAACTAGTGGTGATCCCATTCTCTCCGCGTCAACTACGTGGACGTAAATGACTTTGGAGACATCAATCTCAGTCACCATCCTCTCAAGTGATGCTTTCAGATCTGCATCAGCATTCAGAGTTTTGCTAGTTGGAGAAGCAGGATCCGCATACACTCTTTTAGCGATATTGAACGTATCAAGACACATTCAGAAACTAGGTCAGCCAACGCGCTTCACAACGGTCCAGAGTTTCTCTCTTGTGTCAAGATGTGTACTCCAGAACAGATTCTCATATGCAAAACATACGAAGGGAGTCTCAGCAACTGCCATAGCTGCAACTTGTCTCAAGTCGGCTGCGATGATATCGAAGTCATCGGTGAGTTGGTCCGCGGAGAGAAAGTTGGCGAGGATTTGGATCGTGGTTGTGTGTAGTCGCTTGACGATTTGCAGCCAAGAGACCATCTTTTTGATCAGTTTTGCATGTTGCTCTCGATCCCTCGGTCTTTCGTAGAGAAGCAATTGTTGAAGACCAATGATTTCGAGACCTTGGGGTTGACAGACTGAGTGGATGTGATCTGCCACTTGGAAGAGTTGGTCTGCTGTAGGAGTATCCTTACCAGGAATATCGCGCGCAGTGTACTCGAGGTCCTCGTAGAACACCTCTATTACTTGAAAGCCTGTGTTTGCAGCTTGGCTTATTCTGTAGTCGAAACCTTGAAGCCAAGCTCGCCTTAGCGAGACGCTCATAATAGCGGGTTGGTAAGTCATATTTGCTGATAAAGCTTCCTGATGAGACCGAGTGGGACAAGCTTGAAATGACGAATACTTTGGACCAAACTCCAGCTGGTATCATGCCCCCAAGCTCGAGACTGGATTGACTAGTGCAGCAATTTGCCCCGGGAATTGAGCCGAGACTAATAGAAATTGTTGATTTATCATTCCCGGTAGACAAAATCGACATGCTGCAGACATATCCTACCTTTACGCATTATTGGCATCCGATTCTAGAACGACATGATGTGTTTCGGGCAATGCACACTAAATTAACAACGGAAACAGGCCATGATAATGGATCACGACTAGCTCTCTGGGCAGTCGTGGCATATCAATCCTGCATGGTCCATGGCAGCCATGCCATGAAGCCAAATATCGTGCAGGTGGAACAATCAATCCATTCTCGAATTATGGTGCGATCTTCAGTCTTGAGATTAGGCCACGTTCAAGCTTTGATAATTTTGGTACTTCTCCGCTTAAAAACAGCGGATATCCAAATTGCGTGGAGGCTAGTCGGGTTGGCTTCTAGGATTCTTGTGATATTAGATACAGCCTCCAAACAAGGCCGGTACTGCCATACCTTCCATGGGTGTATCCTTCTCGACAATATTCTATCTGCTTTCTTGGACAGGTCGCCGTCTTTGTCTTCAGAAGAGCAAGAAAACGAAGGCCCGGTAAATGAAACGAGCATGAAGGAATGAGATATTTGGCCATGGCTCCAACAGTCGTCAGGAGATGCACGCCGAAATACTCACAAGCCCTTCGTGCATTGAGCATCTTTAATAATATCAAACGCCTCATGGTATATTTGTCTTGGCTATCATATTTACCGATCAATATATATCCCGTGGAATGGAGCGAACTATCACTCATCATACAAGCTGGGCACAGGCATTGCGCGGAAAAGTATCCACATAACGACAGTTTAGAGCAAGCCACTCCTCCTGTACTCACTCTGCGTCTCTACTACTTTGTGATTCTGGTCCTCCTGCGCCGAAATGCACTAATTGATCTGAGTGCGAGGGATTTGATCGAGGCATATTCGCGATCCGCCATTACTCAACTACTAGACCTGTACCTGAAATGGGTGGATCATCAACTACATCGCCACTTCTCAGGAGTTTAGCTCTGTAGTCTCTGCAGTTCCCGCATACTATATTTCCTGATCCTGAGAGTCAGGAAAGAAAAACAATTGAAAGACATCTCGCGCCCCATATTTCATATATGAAGAATACCTCGTTTGAGGACTTGGTCTTTATCCAGCAATCAACAAGCGAAATCGAATTCCTGAGCGCTCTACAGTCGGAGCCCATGATACTGCACCAACTATTCGTCAGGAAGGTCTTGTCTAGCCATCCGTCCTAGGCATTCCGAAGACACCATTGGAAGCATCGGTCCCTTCTCTTTCGGTCAGTAGGAGTGATCCTCTTCTTGCTTCTAGCTACCTAGAAGGAGACTGTTTTAATTTGTTTGAGGGTATGGTGACATCAATTCCAGCAAACAGGTATGTGAGTTCTCCTTGGATGATGGTCTATATGCTAAGTTTCTCTAGGCAATAACCAGCTTTTGCCCAGATTCTAGGCCTTTAGGCTGCGGATCAGGAGAAAGACTTTTTTTATATAACTCCAAAGGTTACCGGATGGTTGGTACTAAGAATTGAACAATATGACATTATAGGTCGGCCTAGTGAATATATGTAAGGAGCAATTGAGGAAATTATAGCTTCAGCCTAGATATAACCGCGAACTTTTCATCCTTCTATAGACCCACACACAACTGGTTTGTTGATTGAATTTAAAAAAGAAAAAGAAAGGAAAAAAAAAAAAGAAAATTTGCCGTCATTGCATATGGGGGAAGCAGGTTATGATATAAAAAACAAAAAGTAAACTCCGATAGGGGGAATCGAACCCCCGGCTGTCGTGTGAGAGACGACGATGTTAGCCACTACACCATATCGGAGGGGGACTGCGAATTACCCACTTAGGTTTAGTCTTGACCTCTTAGGTTTAGCGCTCTTTGTCTTTTTGCCTCCCCGTGCGTGGTTGTATATAGTCCCTGCTCTTCCCTCCATCCAACAGCCCCAAGTTTTTTTTTTCGCCTTCTTTCTCCTACGCCTCGCAGGTGAGGCATTTTTGCCATTGACCCGGATCACCGAGCTCCTGAGCTCCGCCACCCCCTTTCCAAAGTCTGACGCGTCGGCTCTTCTGCGACCCCGCGTCTGCAATTCGAACTGCCCTCCCTCCTCCGGCCCTGTTTTCCTTCTCAGGCCCGACCATGGCGTCAGGTGTCACTCGACCGACCTATATTTGGCCTCCACGCATGCGGGCGCGTTTGCCCCACACTCATTCAGGATAATCATCCCTGCGCAGCGGGGCTGCAAATCTGCCTTAGGGCCGACACACCGCGTGAGAGCCTTTTGTCGACCCTGGCTGATAGCGCTCGCCTCAACCTAAAACCGAAGATGGTCGGATCGGATTACTCGGTTTAATAAACTGATCAGATTGTCTCAGCCGTGAGTCGCGTCAGCCGGTTCTTGCTCAGTCAGCGCAGTTAAGTGACAAAATAGGGACAGTTTTTATATTTTTACGATGACTGTAATAGTTCACGGCGGTCATATCGGGCCCTAGGACGGCTTTCGGATCCACAAAGCGGCGAGGCGACGCCCTAGGCGCCGCGCAAACATCTTCTCCCCTCGATGTACACCAGTGTATCGCGCAAGCTATTCCAGATATTCACGCGTCTCCATATCATCAAGGCGCCTTGTGACCGCATTTCTTGGTTCCATTAGTGATTGGCATAGAGGACGAGATAGAAGGACAAGGAACCTATTATGCGGGCTGGAGATGGAGGGGGCATGTATCTCCGTGCTGGTCCAGTTTTACGTGTTCTGTGTACTGTCTCGAACCATGGAACGACTGGCTAGCAGAGCCCCTTCAAATCAGTGATGGTGACACTGGGTGCAGATGATGCGCAGACGTATACCCACCAATGTTTGAGCAAAGAGTCGACAAATGCTTGCAGATGCTGGCTGGGGTGATTGATTCAGGAAGACCAAATGCGTTTAAATGTGCTTTCCCGGGACGCAAATCGTCTGGCACATGGCGACTGGAATATGCACCAAAAGGCTTCGGTGGCGCGCATAGCGGAAGACATCTTTACAATATGAACGGCGGCAACGTGAATGAAGTAGACTACTTTTTCATGAGGCGAGAAAATATGGAGCAAAAACCATCAGAAGATACCATTATTCTTCGCTTGCCTAATAGAGAAAACCGTTCACCTGATGTCACCTTATATGTCCGAGATCAAGAATCAACCGTTCTCAACGAAGCTTTGGATAATCTACCATGGACATTCTTGTCATGGTCGATTCATAGAGGACTGCGTGATCTTCTCGTCGCGTTTTCAAAAGAAAGAATGGACCGCTATCGGGATTGTTTAGCAAAAACGCTCAGCCTCGCGGTATTGAATATGCCTGAAAAGTTGAACGCAAGAGGGTGGGATCCGCAATTTGTGAGACACGAGATGGCAGGCATGGCATCAAGCGCAGTTCTAGCGGGCCAAGGTAATTCAGGGGACGCTGTCCGGGTTGTAACTGATATAGCGGCAATTTTGTGGGACGGAGACGCCTCGACTCTTGATGAAACACATTTTTGGAGACAAAAGACCCCCGAGCCCTGTTCCGCAATTTTAAGCCCAATGGCCGTTGTTGCTCTTGTCAAATGCTTCGTACTAGAATGGAGCCTTGATTTAGACTACCAGATGTACCATGATCTCCCGTTGGAGCTCTATCTCGGCTGAACCGCACCCTCGTCTGCTGGGATTGGAAAATTTCTTCGACAAATTCTCCCAGGATCATGTGTAGCCAGGAAGTCGATGTCGGTACTGGGACCAAGCTCCGCCTCACCACAACCACAATGCTCGTCTAACCCGGCCATTACGGGGTTAGATACGGATCCAAAGGAGCATACTTGTCTTCAACCACTATGAAATAGCGTCCATGCCTGGGTTGGGAGAATTGATGGGTCCGTATATGATCAATGCAGGCCAATTCGAAGGTTCAAGCGAGATTGATCCTCTACACTATCAAGTTAGCAAATCAGAAATGCTGTAAGACTTCTCACTAAAGGCTTGCGCACATTCTTTGTAGAAGATCTTTTACTTGCTGGACCAAGAAGAGGAGGCATGAACAAGTACTTATTAATCGAAGGGCTTCGACTAAAGAGGAGTATCTACGTCTCTGCCGAAGAACCAACCGTTATTACTGGCCTGATAGATTGGCAATCAACCAGCATTGAGCCCGCGTTTATTTATGCCAACGAGACACCTGATTTCGCTGCGCTCCCAAGGGTCCCCGAGGAAGATCCACTCGAGAACGAACAGAATGAAACGGAAGTTTCTGGACAAAAGGAACGAGAATTAAAAGATGCATCCGTCTGTTATCAAACATATGATGTGGTCATGACAGCCCTTGTTCATAAGCTTCGTCCTGCAAGATTACTTGATCCGACTCTTTTTCGACTCTTCCACTACTGTCACACAACTTGGAGAGACTCCGCTGTCGCTGTCCGCCAAGAGTTAATTGAGCTCTCAGCTCGCTGGGCGGAACTAGGGCTAGAGGGCTCATGTCCATATTCTCCCACAGAAGCGGAATTGAAACAGCATGCTCGAGACTAAAGATCTTGAGGCTTTTCAGGCACTTAAGTCATGGCTAAGAGACAACCTTGATACAAATTCTGACGGGTGGATCCCGAATGAAATATAGGACGCTGCGAGGGTTGCTTATTGCACAGCGTATAAAGAATGGATACAGACTGCCAAAGAAGCCGAGTCCCGTGGCGAAGACATGACAGTAGCAAAGGCGGACAAGATATGGCCATTTGATGCTAGATAGAAACCAGGGATAGGTAATCAAAAAGTCAGCTGGTCACTGTCTCTAGTGTCTACTCTAAACCTAGTCCAACCCTTACGTTAGCTTTTCGGCGTGATGTTTGTTTCTGCCTGGCTGGGCAGTTTTTAAGCAAATCTCGCCAGTTCCTAGGAGTAAGCAGATTATTTACAGGCTGACAAAGTGAAGCAGGACCCCCATTTAAGGAATCGTCATATATACTAATAGCAAACGCCCACTAATCAAATGTTGCAAAATCGCAGGCGCTAAACAATCCAGATCTAATCATCTGATATGGAGTAGTAACCAGATCCCCCCAAAATCACTCTATATACGAATCCAAGCATACCCATACCGACACCCATCATGAAGTCTTTCGTCCGTGTTGCCATCCGGATCATCATACAGCCCATCATTAATGCCGTCCACATCCAAAGGGATCTCCCATCTTTTGAAACCGATCAGCGGACGACGTACTCGAACTGATTTTCCCATCTCATCTAATCTCATCCGCTCGGTGTGGATCGATGGGTGTATGGCGATTATTAATCCGCATGTTATGGCGAACCCGGTCCAAAGACATATTTTGCCGATTGTTGGGAGATAATCGGCTATCCAGGCAAGACTGAATGATCCAAAGAAGACGTAAGAGTAGTAGAATAATTTGAAATGTGGGATTGTGTAGTATATATTAAATGGTATTCGGGGGCGCTCATCATCCTTGGGGATATTTGGGAGGCGAGTGTTGACTGGCATTGTGAATATATGGGAAGATAGATGGATGATAAGGGGGAGGTAAGAGAAGAGAGACGAACTGGAGGCTGACTTAAGGAACGAGGTGGGTCGTTAAAGGGTCATTTCGACCAATCAGATGTGGTGAAAAGTTTGTGGAGAAAACCGGTGCTATGTAGCCCTCTCACTACGGATCAAATTCTCCGCCAACCTGTTATAATCCCTGTACTCCGTATGCTAGAAAAAATCGCGCACCTCATAGCTTTTCCTGTCCCCATCATTTCAACTCCTAGTGCCCTTGGTTATCTAAGACACACAGTAGTTGGGGGCGGTGACATCATATTATATGCAACGCAACGATTCTCAAGTAGTCCAGACTAGACAAGCCATGAACTAGGCTCTATCAGGAAATTGTTCCTGTCTGGACGATCATCTCATTGGCGCTTCAGAGAAGGCTGATTCAAGCCCGTGCGCTTCATCCATGGATCAAGTCCGTAAGCCTGCAGTACAGTATATGGAAAGTGTATGAGCAACCGATGGGACAAATTTTGAGCCCCCGTCACAAATCAGACTCTAGGCCAAAGTAAACTTATAAAAAGGTCCCCTCGGTTGCGTCTCTTCACTCAAAGAGCAATTATATCCTCTCTATCTTTACCTTAGCAACAATGGTCCGCATCTTCCCAGTCTGGATTGCTCTCTCGGGTTTGAGTTTTGTCGTGGCCGGTACTAAATGGACTCCAGAAAACTTTGACTGGGACAGTCTTACTTGCAACGACACTATCCCAAGTGGCCTTTGGATGAACAGACATGAGGCTCCTCCGACCACAGACCTTTCACTGCTCCCAGATCATCATCCCACCAATATCAATTCTGTCGGAATCTCACAGGTTGCTGTCCTGGCTGTACTTGGATGGGCCTGGAGAGGAGCTAGTCTTGCTGCTGCCACTATCGGCTTGAAGAATTCTGTCCATTCCTGCAAGCAGACTGCTAACGGTGATGCTGGCTGGGGTCCCTGTATTGAAGGCCTCTTCACTACCGTTGTTGGCTTCGGTGGTGTTGCTTCTGCCGAGAGGAAGCTTCTCCATAGGGGTGGTCGGTTGATCATGCCTAATCGGTTCCTTGCGGATGGTACTGTGGATTTGGTGAGCTTTTCTCTTCTAACGAGTATGAATATGAAAACCTAATTGATAACAGGAAATGAACACCCTCACCAGACGTGATGTCGACGCCCAGAACAACCACGATGATTTCGTCTACATTCAGCTTCGGAGCCTTTCCTCGCGTGATCCTGAATTCCTCGGATACGCAAAAAGCGATCATCGTCTCGCGAAGAAGGACTTTGGTAACCACCCTCTTGTGCCCATGTTTCGATTCGATCACTTCAAGCATGGCAGCATGGAAATGACTACCCGGGACACTATGAACGGTACCTTCATCACTGCTGCCTATACGGGCCATCCTACTCATCTGCTGGGCCGTCACCAGATTGAAGATCTCAAGACCAATATGAAGCGCCAGGAAGTTTATGATAAGGAGGCGCTGAATACTGGAGTTCTTGAGGCTCGATTCGACGCTGATGCCTCTAGATCTGACCCTGCCTCTATAAGCGCTGATGCTAAAACCCTTTTTAACACCTTCGAGCCCGAAGTTAGCTGCTTTATGGGCGGTAATGTGAAGGATCACAGTGTCCTAGATGTCCAGATGTATGACAAGACAAACAAAGCTACATTTGGCTTCGGTATGTTTTTAATCTTGTCCATTCCTCTTGAGTCTTGTTGACGCATTTAGGCACGATTGGAGTGTTCAACAACGACGATGATGCGCATTCCATTGAAGAAATGGAACCCGCAGGAATGCCTTTAAGCCAATGCAAGTAAGCATGCGTTGAGAGTAGGGTATCTGATATATCGAAAAGATATCTCTGTACATACTCGTTCAGAATAGTGAGAGAAATCAATTTCCGATGCGGGCACGTAACTCGGGACTATATACGAAATTCCACGTAATCTAGCGTACTCGAACCCTAATAGCATTTTCCCATCTTCATACGACAAATATAGTGGAAAAGTCTACAACCCCGCCCAAAACGCACACGACGTAATCGAAAAAGGCGAGATATACGATGCGATTCCGGCTAATATAATGAACTGCCTTTGGAACCATATAGTCTAGTGAGGTTTCAAGAAGCGCTTAGCGAAGCCATAAAAACACATCGTCAGTATTTGCTAACTAGTTGGCTGTACGAACTCTGGAGGAGGTTGATTTATCCGCAGATCCACATAAAGTGGGGTACTATAGTCTAATAGCAATAAAGAAGTTTTGTAAGAGAGCTTATAACCTTATGGGGAGATGATAATGATATAGTTTACGAGCAGAATGAAGAAAACTGTGTATTCAGTATCAAAACAGACAGGAAAAAAAAAGAAAGAGAGAGAATCAAAGATCGAGGATCTATCTAATGGCAAGATCCTGTAGGAACTGCGAATATCAGCGGTAAACAACAATCCGGTATTTGGTAAAGAGAGGATAGTTCATATACGGCTAAAATTATGGTCAGAACCCCCCCAAAATCATGGCAAAATGACCGAGGCAAGTGGTACATGCATCAAAGGCATGAGTTAGAATGCTAGGCTGATCTTGTATGCCGCTCTAGACAATTCTCATCGAAGGCTAGACATTTTGCCCCAGATTCCTTTCTCCATAACATGTAACTCACCCTATTGTCCTCTTCCTCCTCGGTAGCTCTTGGTTAGAGAAGACATAGTCAAGTTGGTTAATCCAAGCCTAGCAAATGTATAAAACCATACTTTAGCCAGGCTCAGGAGAAGTAGACATGGTCTTTTTCTTTTCGAATCAACGGATATGACGATTTACTCATAAAATCAGGAAAATATGGATTCTGAGGTGATTTTTCAACTGGCTACGTCCGCAATAGCATCTTTCTGCTGTGGAAGAAGTCTTATTTTCTGGCTGCTGTCTATCAAGGCTTTTAGCCTACCAAGATTGAGCAGAGAATTTCTCATCTCAAGCCAACTTATAATAGGCGGTGCCGCCCTTTTGGGGCTGATCGCATCTATTCCGCTCGTATTGTTTGAATCGAAGTGGAAGAAAGGTAAAAATTCAATATCTCTCTCCTAGTCTCTATCGTACCTAACTCTATTCTAGGCCAGCTTTGGCCAATACTACAGCAGGAAATTGGCAGTGTATTTCTTTTACTCAATTTAAATGAGGCAAGGACATTGAAATAGAGGGAGCGACGTGACAATGACCTCTCTAGTACCTATGTGTTTCTACTTTGCAATCCTCAACCCATATGATATCTGTCCTATTATTGATGGGGGCAATTACTATTCTATCACTTTCCTTGTATTTTTCGGTGAGGTTCAACTGACGATTCTGCCTACCATGCGTACTTAATTGACCAAAAATGCAGGAATACCACAATGCTTTGTTTTCTTTATATATGATCATCACCTTAGCTAGTCTCAGCTTCGTTCATACCCAAATTACTCAAGCCTGGGTCATTTGCATGAGGCCATAGCATATGGAAACAAGTACTTTCAAATTGTTCTGGCAAAATCCGGACCTCACAGTTGCCAGGCATCAACGAGCCTTGTGGGCAGCTTCATTGGCTTATTGGGGTTATTTCTTGTTTTATTGGGCCTGACAATCCTTGCCTGTATAAAAACCAGCCTGCAGACTCAAATTGTGACGGTACGTGCCTTGACTACTCCATCATCATACGCTACTTACATGCTGCATAGCTCCAGATTGCTACAATAAGCCTAATGAAGGCAGCAGTTTCATTCTACCTTTTCCGAGCTCCCGAACGCAGTATGGACGTCTTACTTTCGCAGGAACATGTTCAACAAGACGAACAGAATATAGAGTAACGTGTGAAAGGAGACTACAGCAAAGGATTCATCTGTCATACAGGAGAAATTCAAGAATGTCATTACTTAATTAAAATGCAGTGAAGGGAGAGGAGAGTCAATTGCTCACATTTCATATTCGAAGCTTAGTAAAATGCCAAGATCACATGTCTCATTTACGTCTTCACGGTGTAGCCGTCCGGGTCGTATGCAGCTTCATCTATTGGACGCGCGCCACGTACCCCGCTCTGGTCAATAATACAATTCATCTCTTCGTCCTTTTTCCCCTTCGAATTCTCTGCACAGACCCTGTAATTGACAGGGTTCTCCTCTTCAACTAAACAGATTTTGACGCACTCAACCGCCTCCGCTGTCGCTGTCCGCCAAGAGTTAATTGAGCTTTTAGCTCGCTGGGCGGAACTGGGGCTAGAGGGCTCATGTCCATATTCTCCCACAGAAGCGGAATTGAAATAGCATGCTCGAGACTATGAGGATTTTGAGGTTGTTCAAGCACTTAAGTCATGGCTAAGAGACAACCTTGATACAAATTCTGACGGGTGGATCCCGAATGAAATATAGGACGCTGCGAGGGTTGCTTATTGCACAGCGTATAAAGAATGGATACAGACTGCCAAAGAAGCCGAGTCCCGTGGCGAAGACATGACAGTAGCAAAGGCGGACAAGATGTAGCCATTTGATGCTAGATAGAAACCAGGGATAGGTAATCAAAAAGCCAGCTGGTCACTGTCTCTAGTGTCTACTCTAAACCCAGGTCCTGCCCTTACGTTAGTTTTTTGACATTAGGATATGATGGCCTGATGTTTGTTTCTGCCTGGCTAGGCGATTCTTAAGTAAATCCCGCCAGCTTTTGGTGCGTAGCTTCTGGGAACTTGGTTGGCTCCTCCACGTCTGAACAGCTCCTTGGCTGCTGCAGGTGTCGTAACAAACAGTATAATCAACCGTACAATATTGATAGTAGGAGTCCAAAGGCAATTCACAGTTCTTAGTTTATTTACCTACGCGGCATCCGCCAAAGCTCGCCGCTGTTTCTTGAGCGTCGTGCTCCGGTACACCTATATGGACCCTTTACTCCTCCCGGCGAATTTCTGTGCAAATTGTCTCGTCACCTCCGACCAAGCAAGATTATGTCCTTCCCTGAGCTTCACCAATAAAGATACTTCTTCCACAGACTATCATAAACTTTTTCTCGTACTAGGAGTATGTTGAGCATCAACTTGTTCGGTATTTGGGCTTGGCTGGTCACAGTCGTATGTGATGTCTGAATCTTGGTTTGCGATGCATCTTGATACAGTGGCGTAGACAATGAGATAAAGCACCCTCAAACAACCAGGACAGGAACTCTAGCCGGTCTTCGACGGGAAGGGCCGAGAATTGAGCATTTCATAGCCCACAACAAGTTATGGTTCGCTGGCAAAGATTCCCGCAGTTGCAGTCTCGAGTTTTCACCCGACTAGGTGGAGAGGGACCGGAGAGACCGATAGACCTCGGCAAGGACCGGGTCCGGTCCCAACTTTGAGGACCGGGACCGGACCATGCGGTCTTTGGTCTTTTTTCAAAGTAGTCAGGACCGCACCACGGTCCCCCGTGGTCCTTTGCGGTCCCCCATGCGGTCCCCCGCAATTTCATAATTATGCCAAGACCTTCCTTGTTTGGTCGTATAAACTGATTATTCAGCCACGTTTTTTACCGTTATTTAACACTGTTCTGGTATCTACACAAATTTTGATAATGAATCAGGTCTAACAATCAATAAAACAGTTGAAACTACCTTGTATCTGATTTTATGAAGCTTGGTATTAAGTTAATTACCAATGAACTTTCGATTTCGGACTGTTGTGGTTGACATTTTAGAATTTACTTCTGATCATGCAAAGATATATATATTTTCTACACCGGAGCACTTGTACGCTTAGGAAGAGTCATAAATATTAATATCCCTAGCCTAGATTTCTAACGGCCGTTAGAATTTAAGCCTATCTATTGCCTAGAAACTGTTAATATCCCTACTAGATTTCTGACGGCCGTTAGAATTTGAGCCTATCTATTGCCTAGAAACTATTAATATTCCTACTAGATATCTAATAGCTATTATTATTTAGGCCGATTTATGCGCGTTAGATATAGATTATTTGTAGGATCTAATAAGTTCTACCGGTTCTTACGGTCTTTTAGCGGTCTATTAGCGGTCCTTATACGGTCTCTATATAGTCCTCGTGGTCTTTTAGTGGTCCTTACGGTCTTTTGGCGATCTATTAGCGGTCCTTATATAGTCCTTGCGGTCTTTATACGGTCCTTGCGGTCTTTATGCGGTCCTTGCGGTCTTTATGCGGTCCTTGCGGTCTTTATACGTAGACCTTGACATTTCCCATGGGACTAGCGAAAATCTAGTCCCATGTCCATGGGACTTAGTCCCATGGGAATTCCTACAGAGGTCTAGTCCCGTGGACCCACTCCCATGGGAGTAAAAAAAAAATTTGGTCCCGCCATGGGAATTCCCGTGGGACTCCCATGGGACTAAAAAAATTTCCCATCTATACATTATTTTCATAATAATGATGGATAAATCGCTGAGTTATTATGATAGAATACGGTAATTTAAAGGTGTTTCAGCGAGTATCCAAACTAACCAAGTATTCATTATTTTTGATACATTCCGACTATAATTTTGTGATTATTTAGTATAGCTTCAGTATCATTTAATATAAATATTCGTCACCTTGATCCTATTTTTTTCACACTTTCTGACTTACCTCAGAAAGTGAGGGCTGACATAGAGATATCATACCTAGTAACCTTCAATTTAAATCAGAAAGCGAAGCTTTTATGAGTATCTAGTACACCTATTCCAATATCAATATTCGTTATCTAACTATCCTTAATACTAATCTATCATATTTTCTAACGTATCTTAGAAAGTGAGGGCTAAAACAGAGATATCTATATAAAAGAAACTTCAATTTAAATCAGAAAGTGAAGCTTTTCTG